GGGTCTCCTTGTCGTTGTATTTCTTGCGTCTGTGAATTTTCTCTGATGGGCCTTATGATTTGTGATCTTTGTTTAGGTTCGCATAGTTGGACTTGGACCATTTGTTGAACTTCTGTGACTTGGTTCCGATTGAATGGTTTTAGATTTCCTTTAACTGGCATGACATGTTGGATATTCTGCTGAGTTGATATTTGGTACATTCGATTTTGAAATATATCTTGATCTTGTATGATTCGTGCTGTTACTTGCTTAGCTGTCGGCTGGTTGCGGTGCTGATTACTTCTCTGCTGGTTGAGAATAGGTGACTCGGAATTTGAACTGGGAATAAGTTTATCTTGTATCGGCATAGTAGGTACGCGTCTCACTGTATTTTCCCATAACATCGTTTGTGGATATTCAACTTCTATGCGACCAACTATTACTTCCTGTCGAACACCGCGTCGACTCATTTTATCCTGTTCTGCGCGAAGTTCTTCGAAGTCATCAGCTAGTATTGTTAATTCTGTTAAGCTCGAAAAGTCTCGACGTTTGATGTACATTTGGTACTCTGTGCGCATGTTTCGGTATATTTGCTCCAATTGCGAATCTTGGTTTATGCCTGTGTGTCGCATAAGATATTTGATTTCCAGTACATAATCTTTAAAACTTTCATGTTCCTTCTGAACTCGTGCTCGCACCTCGTCTTCTAATCTGTCGAAATACCTATGTGGAAGGAAAAATTTTAGAAAGTCCATCTTGAAGCTTGACCAAAGGTTCCAATGCTTATTGTTGTTGCGGTACCACATCAGTGCTTTGTCTTCAAGCAGTATGGGCATCATCCTGGGAACTAAATTCACGTTGATGTAGTCAAGGTCCGCTACCTCTTCTATGCTTTCCACAAAATCTATGGGATCTATTCCTCCATTGTATTTTACAGACCATTTTCGTATCCGCTCCACGGTTTGTGCATACGATAAGGCCATGATGTGCTGCTTATGCGAACGTCTTGTATGTTTCTCTGTTTAACTGGCTTGAATTGGACTACGGATGAAAGTATTTAGATTTTATCTTTTGATCATGTTAGTTTGTGCCATGGTAACGTGGATATTACTTTGATTTAATTTTGAGAAGTCTGTCTGTCCCTGCTCGGGCGCCAATTGTAACGACAATTTTTCGTCGCTCTGTTTGCCGGGGTAATACTCAGGGGTTGGTCCTGGGTCGTTACAATAAATTTGTATTCACAAGAACAAGACTTCTCAAATAAAAGATTGTGTGTTAAATTTCAATATTTATTTATTATTAAGTTGTCTTAAAACTAACAATGTTTATTCATTTATATTTGATATGTATAAAAATTATTATACCTGTTGTGGAAGAAAAGTTTATGGGTTATAGATGTTATTATCTATAGACGTGTTCACGCCTATATATATATATATGGTTTAGTAAGTAGGAAAGGATCTAAAACGTGTTCACGCTTTATATTAGGTTTTAATAGCAGGATATGAACGTGTTCACGCTTATATTTGCTACTGGAAAGGATATAAACGTGTTCACGCTTATGTACGGTGGCTATAGGAGGAATAAAACGTGTTCACGCTTTATATTAGGTTTTAATAGCAGGATATGAACGTGTTCACGCTTATATTTGCTACTGGGAAAGAATATAAACGTGTTCACGCTTATGTACGGTGGCTATAGGAGGGATATACAAATCAAAGGAAAATTTGTTATGTAAGTCTCTGTTTATACTTAGCTCTGCGACCGACTTTGTATGTTGTGTTTGACTGTCCAAGTCCCTGGTACGTTCTCTTGTCTTCGAAAGTTGATAACGAGCCTCTGTCTGCTTCTGAACACTTTGCGTGTTGATCACTGACTGCCTTCTTCTAAGTAAATGCGTCTTCTTATATACGCATCAGACCAAACTTTAACGTAGCGCAAAGCTTAGTTTACAGCTGGCTTGGATTTTTGACGTCGTTGCTGTTTTGCGCTTTCGCCGTAGTTAATATGCGCGCGCATCTATTTTAACACAAAGCTCTTTGCACAAAAGCTTTCTTTTGACGTTTCTTGTGTTGTGCATTTGTTTTGTTTTGAAACGTGTTTAGCTTAGTGGCGGTAGTGGCGGCTTTAAATATTTATATTTATTTATTAAAATAAAATAAATATTAAAAATATTAAAAGTACAAGTTTAAATAATAAATAAATAAGGTAGGTACAATATTTATTTATTTGAATATATTTTGCATTCTTTTAAATTTTCAATGTAATCTCAGGTTTTATTCAACTGGTGCAGTTACGTGCATGCGGGGGTGGGTTTATGGTAAGTTATTTACTTTTAAAATATTATATAAAAATTAATCAATTTTTATTTCAGGTATTAACTGCACACTAGTTATATGTAGGTTGGAAATTATTACAAAATTTCCATCCTTACAACATGAATTAAAAAAAAAATTAAGTTTTAAATACAAACAAGAGCGTAGATTTCATTTCTTCGTAGTGACTTCCTACTTTCTTAGCATTTCAATTAGTTGAGATACTCGCGTTCCGTAATAATAATTCTACACATATGAGTAACCACAGAAAAGTGCATTCAAATTAGCTTGTACTTCTGTGTGTATATTTAGTGTCCACATAATTCTAGAGTTTATTGCATTTCTATGTCAAAATTCTAAGGTGTCTGGCTTTGTGGTTTATGTTGTTCTTCAACTGCTTGTGATTACGGGCTTCTTTTTCTTCTTCTTCTATGCCGGTTTCTTTAGAAGCCACAATATTAGGCTTCACACTGACTACCAGTAGGTAATGCATTTATTAGTTGGACTTTCTTCCTTGGGAATGTGTGTTGTATACTCGACTAACCACATACGCGGCCTAGCATATCTGATGTACCACAAAATCACAAACACACACATACAAATGCAATTCAATGCAGATGAAGTTTTTGTTAGTCCTTTCGTAGGATCAAGGCATGCCGCTTATTTATTAAATGCACGTATTATCTGAGCACACTTATACTAATACATACTCACTTTCAGACGTTTGTATTTCGACGCAAATGCATTCAACCAAAACACACCTCTAAATATACATCTGAATGGTAGTGTCTGTTAGTTTGTTTGCAAAGGTATTTGGGTTAAGTGTGTGTGATGTGTGATGTGTGTATGCGTGTATGAGTAGAAGTAAGTGGCCATAAATTTACGCAATTTGTGTAAATATTCCACGAACAAGGTTTCTATCTTTATCCTTAAATTATGTTATTTTTGGTTTATTCACAGACGAAATTATGGTGTAGTTTGTTTTGTGTACAATGGCGTCTAATGAATGCTCATTACTCGGAGAAGTTGTAAAATATAGTTTAGTTTAAAAATTTATATTAAAAAAATGATAGCAATAGTGGGAATATAGTGCAGGTGAGAATTTAAGTAAATTTAAGAAAATATTCTTAACTCTAATGGGATGGCATGATTCGGGAATAAGTATACTGACGTTGAAAACATTAACTATCTCTCATTAATATAGAATGCAGTAGATGTGGTTCTGACAATCCTTTAGAGGTATATCTTCTGCTCAAAAAGTACTCGGATTTTGTAAATAAAACACAAATTTAAATTTTATTCCAAATTTATTTTATCTCCTTCAAAATATGCTCCTTCTGAAGCGATACACATATGCTAACGCTTAACCCAATCTTCCATACACTTTTCATAGGCCCGTGAGGGTATGGCGTTTAGTTTCTTCAACGAATTCTCTTTTACCGATGCAATCGACTCAAAACGCTTACCACGAAGGGGCAATTTGATCCGGATCTGGCGAATATGGTGCCTGAGCGATGACAGTGGTGCCGTGTTTGGTCAAAAAATCGCGTACAACAAGAATTTTCCATAGTAAAAATCGCTAAATGCACTCGAGGTAGTCTCATATTAACAGCTGCTGTAAAGAAACTAATTGACAGATCGCGTTTAAATTTGCACCATATATCAAGAAAGGATGTACCAATATAACAAAAGAAAATTTTTTGAAAAAGGGGTCTATTACTTAAGGAATAGTTAATAAACAACAAAATCCGGATACTTTTTGAGTAGGAGGTATTCTTCCATACCTCATAATAGAATAAAAATCTTACCGCTTGTTATGAATTTATATGCCGAGTCCACACACACAACTGAGTGATGATACAACGGTTTATAAACTGTTAGTAAGCGTCGTACATAAAATCATAACAAGCGGTAATATTTTTATTCATTTAAAATGCATTTATTCATTTAAAATCCGCTTATCTATCGATATTAATAGACTTTACTCTCATTAGTAAGGAAATTGTAGTGCTCAGTTGAGAATCGATGATATCAAAAGGTTCAATATCTCTTTACTTTAGTAAGTTGCTAAGGTTTCGATATGAAGATTGGTATGTAGGATTGCCGAAAATAGGTATCAAAGCGCTTATACGATTCTTATAAGTGGAATTGGTATGACTGAAAGCATCTAAGTGCAGTTTCGGAAGCTTAGCTCAATGTTATGGACCTATAGAATTCATAATTTCTAGCAAACAGCAGTTATATAGGTTTACATATAATTAAAGATAATTGAGAAATGATGAATATGTGACAAATGTCGAGAAACCCATTTACGATCTCTTGATAACATACCAAATTTACTTACTATAGGCTACTTACTGTAGTGAATATAGTTCACTATTCTTCACTATTTGCTATACTAAACAGCGGTACATCTACTTTATTGTTTTAGTTGAATCGTTGGGATCAACATTGGGAAAACCTGGTAATTTATATTACATTTATTTTTTATTTCAGGTATGACAGAATAGCTATTGGAAAATCTTTTATAAGGCGACCATCTCTTTTGCTGAATACAAAGTCATCAAAATAAGTTAAACTTTCATGGATCCAAAACATAAATTATTTTCTCTAATCAAAGCACAAATCAAAGATCAACAAAATTGTATACCGTATATACATATACCGTATATTTAAACATTTAAAAGTAAGTAGGTTTCTATCAGTTCAGTATTTATTTAAATTTTCATTTAGCACTACTAATTAAAACAATGTCTAAAATCAATTATTTTCGAAATTGACAGAGCATGTACTATTATTACCGTTATAGTTACTTGAAACGTCAACATAATGCATCCAAGTAACCAACACCCGCGAAACAAACGCAGCTACACAAAAAATCACACAAAATTTAATTGAATTCCCAAATGAATAGTCCCTCTCATCTTTATGAACTTTCTCAACACTGTCTTTTATTGATCCCTGTTTCTTCTGCTCTTGTTTAACTGATTGAAAAAACTGTTCCACACCATTTCCGTCTATGGGCTGGTTTAGATCTACCTGGAACTTATTGGACGCCTCCTTATTTTCGTATTCCTGTTCACTTAAAGAATCTATGAAGTCCTCTTCAGATTGATCTGTAAGTGACTTCAGTTCCGTTTTACACTGACCTAGCGGTTTGGCCTCCATACTACCCACATTTTCTTGACCCTGTTCTGGAGACTGAACGACGCTTGAAGACGGCAAAATTTGTTCTTCAGAAAGCATTGTTTCAACTAAAAATAAATAGATTTATATCCCTCGTAGTTATTGACCTTCACACGAAAACTTACTTACTTTTTAGACATGCCTCTAATGGTATCAAAAAAAAATTTGATTTGGAATTTGAAGTTGACAGAACTCAAATAGTTTTTATAATAAATATAAAATAATTTTTTTTAAGATATAAGAATTTAAAAATTTTTTATATTACTTTGTTTAGATCTGATTGAGGTAGACAACTATTTATATCAAATTTGGATTTTGTAAAATAAAATTTAATAGTATCTAGTTTCGAACATAAGCCCTTGCAGATTGTGTATAATTTTTCAATTTTGATGGATAGAGCAAAAATAAAATAAAGGTTATAATTTGAAATATCATTTGTGTTCATTTACGAAAAAAGTTTTTAATAATGTGTAAGAAGTATCACTTATAGTAAGTTAGTAGTAACAGATATAAAGATAGTTTGAAGACTTGCAATATAAGTCGTTTCAAAGAATATTGAATTCTAGAAGAACAAAGAATTTCACATTTTTATTTTACTTGATTGTCCAAATTTTGAATAATGCTGGGGGTTTTTATTTCCCTCTAAGACATTCTATGATGCACATTTCATCATCTAAAAAATTAGATCCGAACAAATTGATCCCAATAAGATTTTTGTTCGTTTAAATGAATCTTAAGACTAACTTATAACTAACAACTTTGCTTATATTTATAGTGAGGATTCGAAGTATCGAATCCTGATAAGAGAATTTGTTGTTTATTTAGGCCGAACAACGAGAATAATATTTTTAATTACAATGTTTATTTAGAGATTTTAAAGTATAATACGGTATGTAATTATAATAGAATACAATGAGAACATTTCATTGTTTGGTTAGGCTGAACAGCGATAACAATCTTTTTAGTTATAATGTTTAGTTAAAGATAATAGAATATAATAAAATATAATGTAGATCTTTCGTTGTTTGATTAGGTCAAACAACGATAATAAAATATTTAGTATAGGGATAAGATAAGAGAATATAACTCACGCGTCTCCCAAATCCGGCCCTGTGCTTAGTTTCATTAACGGAGCAATCATGCGATATTATTCGAACGCATGGTTCATACCAAACGGGACATCCATTTGTTTGTCTGGAGAAGTTCCCTTTTGGCCACGGTTGCCACTTATGGTACTTTAGTACCAAAATTGGTACTTTTTCTTTTTTTTTTTTCGTTTGGTACTCACGTTCAAAAAATGGTACATTTTTGACGACCCAACTTTATTGTGGATATTTCCAATTAATGTTTTTTATAAATGCAACTTTGCACTATTTTATATTTTGTTCATTTATAACACTATGAAAAACACAGAACGAGAAAACAAAAAGGTCCAAAAAAATTTTGGACCTTCTTTTACAGAAATGGTACCTTTTTAAACCAATTTTGGTACAGAACAAAATTTTCAAGTGGCAACCGTGCTTTTGGCTTCGGTAGCTCTCAACTTCGCAAAAGTGCGCTCGGTCTCTCCTGCTTCAGCTTTCGAACAAGCAAGTTCAATACTTCTTAAAAAAATAAAAAAAATATTTAACTTATATAAATCATTATAACTGAAGGCTTAACAATCAACCTATTTTTTTTAATCGTACCATATAATATGTAAAATTACCAGAAATATCTAACAACTGATGGAAATATTTGAATTTAATTCAATTAAATTGTTAGTCTTAAAAATGGCATGCAAGCAATTCCTGTGGGAATCTATGAGCGTAACTTTTTATTATATTTTCAATTTAAGAAATTGCAAATAAAAATAAAGCTAAAGTTGAAATACTTGAAAATCAACATAATTTCTATGAAAATAACAGTAAAATTGTGTCCATTTTGAAGCGCACTTAAAATGCAAAGGAAAACGTTTGCCTCAAAAGCACTTACCAAACCACTTCAATTACCTTAAATGTATCTGTTTATTTACAAATGCATGAATACGTTTATATGGACAAAGTAGTAGTAGAGAGTAAGGTTAGTCAATAGTGGACGGGAGTGAAGCAGAAGTGGGCAGAAGTGGCAGAATGCAGGCAAAAGGACGCTTTTATATAATATTAAATAGCTAAAATCAACAATCTTAACAATTTAAGGAATATTAAAAGATTAAAAGGCAACAAACAACGAATCCATTGAGTGAAAGTACAAGCATATTTAAGGAGTACCAAAAATTGGCGGCACTTAACCAACGGAAATCAGCGTGCACACGGCAAAGGAAGCGGAAAGTATCTGCATTCAAATATACCAAAAATACACCCAACACACCAACACACACACACACACACAAACACACATACACACATTTGAAAAGAAACTCTTTTATGTTGTAACGAAGAAGAAAATATAAATAAAATAAAATTTTATGTTTTCAATTTCCTGCCGTACTTTTTTGCACTCCTGTGTGTTGTTATTCGTGGTGGTATTGGTTTACTAATGGCGGTGAGGTATGTCGATGTCGATGCTGGGGTATGTTGGGCATTATGGGAAAGCAATCGGCTTGTGTGCGTTGCGTTGTGTTGTGTTGTGTTCAGTTTATGACATTTTGTTTGTAATTTAATAGTTGAAAGGATTTAATTTACGCTGAAGGAGGTGATATAATTAATGAGAGTATGTTGACTGTAACAATTGAAAGCTGTCGCATAATTGTTATTAATTAAAGAATTGTTGCAGCTTCTTCAAATTATTTGTAAAAAATTAAATGGCAATCAAACAAAACAAAAAAAAAAAATAAATTAAATAAAAATAAGAATGCTAGGTTATAAAAAGTATGTGTGAAAAAAAAAAACTGATGTAAAGAAATCAAAGAAAAATTCAGATTAAGAGAAAAAACACGTAACATATTCATCAGATAAGCTTAACGGCCGACAGTATTGTTAACAGCAGGGTTCCATTATAGCATCAAACTGACATAGATTCACACAAACCCGCATAGAGATATGGGGGAAATGTAAAAAAACAAACACATTGAAGAACAAAACAAAGTTAAACTCTAAATGCTTTACTAACGAACTTTATTCAATTATGCAAAGGGTGCACACAATATAGAGAGGTGAAAGTACATGAGACCAGGAGAGGTTCAGACAAGCGGGACACGTTGGTAAAATATATACAATTTTATACTTTGTCATTGCATGAAAGTGTGAATATAGGAATTGTAACTGTGTGTGTGTGTGTGTGAGTGAGTGTTTGTGTGCAAAGTTGGTTTGAAAAATATACCAAAAATGCACAAAATAAAAATAAACTCAAAACAATAAAAAGCAGAAAACAATAAAAATAGTATAAAACAAACCTGTTAAATGGAAAAAAAATCAGATTACGTACAAATACAGTAACACGACAACATAGCCAGGACTTTAGTGGTAACACTTAAAAAAAAATCAAAAAAAAAAGGCGCAAAACCCATTGAACAGCACGTGAAGGTATACAAAAAAAAGAAAAGAGAAAGTGAAAAGAAAGAAAGTAGCTGAAAAAAAATTTGTAGGAAATTGAATGTATGCGAGATTAAGCCGACTGATAAAATGCACAAGTTACGAGCTGTTTTACAAAAGTGCTCATACACAAGTGCCTGGAGTAGTTGCCAAATACCCATGCCGCCAACCGCCACCAAACGCCACCAAGCGCCACCAGCGGCCACCGTTGGCATACTGTTGGAGCCACCGAAAAAAAAACACTAGCCGAAAGCGGTAGTTTTGGATTATTTGTTACCAGTTGGTCAACTGAACGGCACAGTTCATATTTATTCATCTACGACTATCGATAGGTGCCAAAATGCTTCAAAACTTTTTTGTTCAAACCTTCATTTGGTTTTGGTAAGCGCCTGGCGCTATTGTTGCAGTCACAAGTGTGTTATGGAGTTTGGAATATAAAATGCATTTTACTTTGAGAAAAAAACCAAAAAAAAAAAAATGCAGTAGTATAAAAAATATTTTTTCCAAACTAATATGTACATATATAACTACACTTTAGATACACAAAGTTTTTTATGTTTATTTGTTTTTCCAGATAAATCCTTTTTCCTTTGATTATGTGGAAGCGTTTGCATGCTCAGGCCGCCTCATGCTAATTCATTTATTTAAAGCCTAAAGGTTTATTTATTTGTATTTAACTTATTTTTTATTTACGAGTACCAGTACCAGTACCAGTAGCAGTAGCAGTTGTATTTGCTGTATAGTGCAGAGCATTTTATTCCAAACTCTTCACAGCTTTTATGGAAGTTTATTCCTCAACTGGTTTAATTCAAAGTTTTTAATTAAATTTTATTGAAATCGTGTACACACAAGTGTTAATAACTTTTAAAAAACATTTTACACATATAATATTTTTAATTGAACTAAGCTAGGTGTCGGTACTCATATGCTCAATGGGTTAAGTTTTTATGAAAAATTTATGAGCACTTTGCGGAATCTAATAGTTAATATATCAACTTAAAAGATTTAAATGTTGTCTATGGGCACTCAATTAAATTATATGAGATACAGCAAAAAATTAATAAAAATTGTTATATCAAAGAGGATCCGATATTTTATTGGATGTTTGCATGCAGTTTGATGAATTAATTAAGAGTGTTTCCATAGTAAAAATCGCTAAATGCACTTGAGGTAGTCTCACATTAACAGCTGCTGTAAACAAACTAATTGACAGATGGCGCTCAAATTTGTACCATATGTCAAGAAAGGGTGTACCAACATAACAAAAAAAATTCTTGATAAGGTTTATTACTTAAGGAGTAGTTAACAAACAACAAAATCCGGATACTTTTTGAGCAGAATCTAAAATCATAAAACTAATTGAGTAACACCTAGCTTAGTTCAATTAAAAATATTATATGTGTAAAATATTTTTAAAAGTTATTAACACTTTTTCTTTTAGTTTATGACATAAAACAAAATAATATCCTTATATTAAAATGGCTAAGAGGGCCATTGAAGTAGATTTATATATACAGTAAGATCCCACTTAACGCTGTTTCGGTTTAACGCTCTTTTATTTCAACCCGAACATTTAAGCATATGTTTGAATCAACAGACGGAGAAGAGAAACAATCAATAAGAGAATTTTGGAAAAACTACAATATCATAAATGTTATAGAAAACATAAACCTTTCTTGGAATGAGATAATAG